ATAGTTTACTTTGAGGCACGAGAAACAATAAATCCCAGGGCTCATTCATAGAGGCTCATTTGTCACACTCCTCTCTGTAGGGTATAGATAACTCCTATGTTCATAGATGGAAAAAACTAATACTCGAAGATACACCACAGTGTGTCCCACTAGCCTGCCAGTAAGTGGCAGACCTGTTCATTGCTGGAATCCAAACATAACTGAATTATGATTGATAGAACCGTTACTGTGGACAGCAGAGCAGGTCATGAACACTCTCTCCCACACACCCTTTTAAGAAGAAGTTCTCCTGTCCTGCTTGTTCTGAACTGCCTGGCCTCTCTGACTAGCACTTTAATGACTAGTCTCAGGTAAACACAACACTCCAAAGAGCGTCCTTACCAGGGGGGTCTTTCTGCTCAGTTTTTTGTACAGATAATTGGGAAAGAGAACTGACCAAGTATTTCCAGGTCTCAATTAGTTCTCCACTTTCTCTGAGAAATGAGGTCAGGGAAAGCATCCGAGAAGATCTTTCCCTTCTAACAGGTTTGGTATGTTGTGAATTATTTAGTAGACAGCCAAAGAACGCCTTGGATTCTCGGTTTCTGTTTTCAAAGGATCTGGGGAGTGATTCTTAAGTTCCTTTCTGTGTTCTAGGAAATCGAGCGGAAACTCTTCCTCCAGTCTGGGAGAAATGGTGTCGGGAACATTTCGAGCAACTCCCACAACTACAGGTGAGGGTCTTGCTACTGTTTGTAAACACTTTTACAAGTTCTGAAGTAAAGGCTTGATTTAAAGATTTAAAGCTTCTTTTATGTAAAATTTCCTTGCTCATTTGAATGCTATTTGATTTGGAGAGTACTGATGATATAAGAATTCAGGTCATCAGCATAATTTTGAAAAATCTCATTCACCCCCTTATCACCAGCAGCTCTCCCTGTATAAACCCATCTCAAGTTCACTATTCTACCCAAGAACTCAACATACTTTAAGACTGTGCAGCCAATAGAAATAAAAGTTCCTGAACTCTCATAGCAATGTTCAGCATGTACATGAAGCTCTAGCACGCCGTTGGGACTGGGTTGTACATCTTGGGATGGTTGTAGCCTAGCTGTAGCCAGGATTACCTGTTTTTATGTTTGGACATCAGGCAATTTCAACTGAGCCCTAGAATTAATGCAATTGAGACAGGGTGTCTCAATAAAGACTGTGCGTCTTTGGAAATTATGAAGCTATTCACCGAGAAAGTTTTCTCCCATCACATTCCCTGACTCCTATAAGCTAACTTCATTCTGGCTAGGATATGTGGCTAATTCAGAGCACCCAATATCACCAATTCAGATGGCAGGCTAACACACTGCAACGTGTATCCATGCCAGGTGGATTCTGGGACAGCTCTGGGGGCTTGGTCCTTGCTTGTGAGGATTCACTCTGATCTCCAAGGCTGGGAAACAACCTCTAGGTGGCTTATATAGACAGGACCTGCTGTTTGGATGGCAGCAAAGCCACTTTTGCCAATTGTGAAGTAGATTCTGCTTTCTGTTTGCTGAACACTGGGTTCTGCAAACAGCTTTTCAACCTGTTTTTCTTGCAACCTGGAGGGGACAGGGGAAACTGGCTGTCCAAGAGTTGAGAGGAGCATAGTGAAAACAGATGTATCAGTATTCAGGAGGAACAGAGAACATCTGCAGCATTACCTCTGAGTTCATCATCGTTACAAATACAAGACAGTAACAACAGTAATAGAATGTTTGAGGTGATAATGATTTTGCTTACATTGTATCATTTCTTTTTTTTCTCCCCCCCCCCACTTCCTTTAGCTAGCTTGCCTTCAGCTCCACTGTGAATAACACACCCAGTGTGGGCACACACACGGTTAATGATTAGCTGAGAACTTCCAGTGTTGTTTGAGTGCCCATCCCCAGCCTCTAACGGGAAAGTCAATGGTACTGTATTTCATGTTCTCACACAGCTTGTCCAGAGCAAAGTGGCAGAGGACAGTGACCTGCTGAGGGGGTGCCAGGCAAGCAGGACAGTTACAGGGTACCTTCTCCTACCTTTTAAACTCATGTGCTATTGTTTACAGAGATTACATATTTTGATATGGCTCTCGTTGTTGTCTTTTAGCAAAACAGAAGCAGAAAGTGGTAAGTTGTGTTTCCTTTTTAAACTCCTGCTAAGGTTCCGATCCGTACATGCCTGTGGATGTTCCATTTCCGTGGCCCACATAGCTATAAAGTGAGGGCTAGACCTCCTCGGTGGGAACCCTTAGTAGTCACTGACTGAGAATTCTGGATGCTGAGGCTATCGAGGAGAGAGAGGCTCAGATTTACCTTCTCACTCATGTTGACTCGTTTTTTTCAGACGGAGCACGTTCCTCCGTATGATGTTGTGCCATCAATGCGTCCTGTGGTGTTAGTGGGGCCATCGCTGAAAGGTTATGAGGTACAAATTTCATCAGTTGCTCTTTTTTTTTTCCTGACCAAGAACCCTGGGGACTATCCTTCAGACTCTGGCCCCTCCAAGGTCTGATTACAGATGGAAACTGCTATAAGACAGCTCATAGTGTATGTAGGCAGTGGTGGGGAAAATTGGTAAAAACAGGATTAAATTCTGGAGATTAATTAAAAATTGCCACGTAACAAAGGAAGAGTACAGGCTGTGGTACACATTCCAAGTTTTGCCATTCTGGCTCGGTGCTTAAGTGAATACAACAAGTGGGATGTACTACCTAAATATGAAGCTGGACAACCTTCAGGCTCCCCCTAGGGTGGTGTCTGATGGAGAGGAGGTATTTAGTGTACATTTGTTGAATGACTTAATTACTTTCTCAAGGCAGATCTAAGATCCTATCTCTCTTTCTCTGAGTTGGAAATGTCAGGTGATGAGCAGGAAAGCCATGGAGAAAAATATTAATTTCCAGACAAGGAGAATACCCAACACACACAGGCAAACAGGGCAGCAGAGCCTGGTGCCAACTTTGAGACTATCCACTGCTCATCACTAGAGGCAAGCATAACTCAGCCATGCGACGATGGCCAGCATCCTTGTGCGTAGCGGGCTTATGCCCTCCTCGAGGCAGGGCCACATCCTGAAGGAATAGGAAGGAGGGTTTGCCTGGGGTCCTGGTAAAAACTATAGGTTCATGTCTTGGCATCCTGGAGAAGCAACACGGGGAGATTATAGCAGTTATATCTGATTATTATGTCCGTCTGCCCTCTGAGACCCACTGTAGCTGCCTGGATATCATGGGGTCTCTCCTCGTTCACTGTGTCCTTTGCTTCCACCTCTCTCACTTTTGACTTCTCTCTGTGTCTCTCTCCCTCCCTCTCTGTTGTGTTTGCCTCGTTCTTTTTTCTCACCTCTGCAAAGGTAACAGACATGATGCAGAAAGCCCTCTTTGATTTCCTGAAGCACAGGTTTGACGGGAGGTGAGACATACAGATGTTTTTGTCTTTCGATTTTTTTTCCTTAACTGAACAAGTGTGATAAACTGATTTGTGGATCTGTTTCCAACCACTACAGAGGTCTAGTAATTAAGCTAAGCTCAGTGTTCCAGGAGAGTGTACACTGGAACAGCCTTGAATATATGAAGTATAGCCTGAGGCCCCCAAGGACAGAAAGGCCTGGAAGTGGAAATTAATCCATTTATTGGGTATAATGCATATTTTTGTTTATTTTTCTCTCTTACTAGTGAGCTCATACCAAAACTGGTTTTCATGAAGAAATTGGGTAAAATGTTTGTTTCTGACGACTATAATGGCTCACTGGTCATGTCGGGTAGTGTCTGGGAACTGTGCATGTGTGTAAATGCATGTATTCACGTGTGTGTGATTCACAGGTCTAAATTATATATATATATGGCTTTGTAAGAATGACATGCTGGAAACAACCTCCTAAGGAGGGAAATCATCACTTGGACTTAGGCTTCAGGTCACTATTGAAGGAAACTACACTTACTTGCATGTTATTTTTAGAAATAACTTTGTTGTGTTTTTAGGTCTATTTTGTACTTATCCCCCTATACGCCATTATCAATACATCCAGGCCCTCAAACAGTGTTCTGCTTCAGTTCTGTGGGAAATGTCTAGAGCTCTTAGGTTTTCTAGAGAAACGACAGAGCTCTGTATCGACCTAACAGTGAGAGCATGTTTGTCCTCCGTGTGGAACGTGGTCTGTGCAGAGACTGCCACCTGAAAGACTGAATGTTTGTCAGAAGTGAATTATATTGTGCACACTGAGAAACTTGAAAAATGCAACAAGGTTATCACTTTAAACCAAATAGTTCCTTTTCTAAAATCTTTAAATACTTTGAAATAGATTTTAGAGTTTAAGTAATACAGCATTTAAAAAAAAGCAAGCATAATCATGCTTTAAGTACAAATTGTGTATATATAAAACTTAAGTGCAAATGTATATAATTTCCTAAACATGTGTATAGGTATTTATAATTTGTCAAAGCAAAGCCTTCTATGTAGTCATGTGAAAATAAACACTGACTTCTAAGACTAGCTACAATGTAAGGAAGCTGAGGGGCTGGGCAGGCCGGTGGTAAAAGTGCTTGTGACCAAACAGAGAGCCTGAGTGCTGATACCCAGCACTCACCTGAAAACCAGCATTGACTCTCCTGTGCCTGCAACCTCACTGCTGTGCAGGAAGAGAGGAGAGCCACATGAGGGCTTGCTGGCGCTGGGTCATGAAAGACTGTTTCAGATGAATAAGGTGGAGAGGAACAGATCGGGATTCCCAATGTCTTCAATTGTGGGCACCTACATACAACACACATACACACATGCACATACACATACACATACAAATACACACCACATATACACACAAGACATACAACATACTCATACCACATATACACTTACACACATATACACAAAACATGCACATACAACACATATATACATGAACATATACATACACACACATGCGCACACACCACATACATACTTACACAATGCATGCACAGCACATACACACACAAATACACACATACCACATGAACACATACATACACCACATACACACACAATGCATAGACATCACATACACACACAAACATATACACACAACACATACACACATACAACACACACAAAGCTGCAGTTTTACTTCCAGTAATTGAGAATTGCATTGAAGAAATGGGAATGCTTGTCTGCCATTAGGTGGCTTTCTAAGTATATGATGGAATTCAGGCCAGGTCACCTTACTAATAGACCCCCAGATGCATAATAATTTGAACACACTGGAAGTTTAATTTTACTCACTAAATGATCAGAGACAGGGCTTCCTGTTGGGAAAGAAGAGGTAAGTGGCGAGGGGAATCTCAGGTAGAATGTTTGCTTCACCTTGCATTTGGGGTCCTTGGCCTTTGGCTTGAGTTCTCCAATCAGCTAAAAGAGAAAAGGCCTCTAGGGCCTGCAAATATCACACACAGAAGCTCATTTCATTGGCTAGAACTTGGTTGTGCTGTGTTCTTAGCTGCAAAGGAGAGTGGGAAGGACAATTTAGCTGTATACCTCAGATGAAGAGAAAACAGAGCTCATCTTTGCCATAATCTAGTGGGCACACAGGATTGGTTAAAAGGGGAAGGCATGGTTATATTCCCTCCCCCCTTAGAAGACAGGTAGAAAGTTAAGCTATCTCCGAGGAAACAAGAGGAACAAAATGAATATTAGAACCTTTGCAGAGGGAACATGAGTTTTTTAATTCTAATCTCTCCTCCAATAGCCATCATCAGATATACAGCCAGCCCTCTTCTGTCTAGAAGGTTCTGGATGCTAGGGAATTCATGTTCTAAAAATGTATTACAAAGAAACAGCTAAACCTGAACTCTAACTGAACAGTGATAGTCTACATCCTGTCCTGTGATGTTCTGGACCATAACTCTGACCCACAGGTGCTTCTGTGGATGGGAGGCAGCTAACATGAGAGGCCGGGTCTGCTCTTCTTGGTTGCATATGCACAATCCTTTCAGCTCTGTGTGGACTCATTGGTTTTAACCTGGGGTGCCGTCACTGTCCTGAGCAGTGCCTCCCGCCTCTAATTCCATCACAACCTTTGATGGGAACAAAACCCATCCTGTAACTCAGCCTATACTTGTGTTAGATTATTTTGGTTCCACATGACATTCCTACAAACAATGTTGTCAAAGACTGGAAACAGCATTGGTGAGAACAAGAAACTATTTCAGATTGCTTGGCGAAGGGCAAGCTGAGTGGCTGAGTTGCTGTGTTAATGGATACTGATACTGTCTTTAATCCTGAGGCCGTGGAAGAGGTTGTTCATTTAGTTGCAGCACAGGCTTGTCTTGAGTCAAGTAGAATATACCTGCCTCAGTCACTGTATCTACACTATTGAAGCTTCTTTCAGGTTAAAGATAGAATTAAAATGTCAATGCCAAGTTTTCATGGGGTCTGAGGATGCAGAGTCTGGGGGTGGTGAGATCTGGAAGCAGCTAAAGCAACAGCTGGAGACAGAGGCAGGCCTAGGAGAGTCTGATGCATAGCTTGGCTACAGAGAAATGGGTAATAAAGATGCTGGGGGGTGGGCAGGGGGAGTGAACTTGCTTTCAGGTAATGAGAAAACAGTACTGAAGAAAATCCCTGTGAGCCCACTGCAGAGTGACTGGATGGTTGGGTAAGGAAGAAGTTGGCTGGGAGCTCCTCATAGGTGCTAGCACATCTTCTGTGTGGGACATGCTGTGTTTTGAGCTGTGACAATCTGCTATGTTGTATTTTTACCAATTAATAAAAGGAGGGAAAACAGCACATTGTCTTGGGTTGAAATCAGCCAAGAATGCAATTCCACTGAAGACGTTGACACAGTGAGACAGCGAAAACAACACAGTCCCACGGAAGCCTGTGCAGAGTGGCTATGACTACTGTATGGTAGACATCATGGTCAGAGGATGCCCTGTGGTTTTCAGGAAGAGCAAATTAGAGATTCATGAGTTAGAAGGCTTTCCTGTTCAACACTGCGCTTCAGATCCTGATTCAAAGTCAATGCAGAAGAGTAGATGAAATCCATCTGTTTGACTGTAACAAGCAAAAGCTTGGATGATTTTTCTTTTCACTCTTTGGAAATATGGGTCATTTTAGGGCTGTGTCTTACTCAGTTTGAGTCTAACTGTAATACACTTAAGGAAAAATGAAAACTGTAAAACCAAGCAGCTCCTGAGAACCTACTGGATGTGTCAGTGTCCACATGCAAGAGTGATTCCTGTGAGTGGACTCGGTGGTGCTCAGCCTTCAGGGGACAAAGTAAGCACAGAGTGTCTCTATTTCACACCCCAAACACTACCCAGGGGGGGATCATCTTTTCCAGTGAGCTTTGTGCAGCTGCTCAGCCCAGCACTGACAGCCACAGTTTGCTGACTTATACCATAGGTTTCAAATCCCCAAAAGCTGTCATCTAGGCTTTATTTTTTATTTTATGTATTATTAATGAATTAATTTAAATTAATTAATAATTTAAATTATTAATTTTATTTTTATTAGCATATATCCAGTGTGCACAGCACTCGGTTTCATAAAGACCTCCGTGAGCTTTTCGACAATTAGGTAGCATCATGTTGTGTCCTGAAATCATACATGAATCCTGTGAAGCCTACAAGGACAGGGTCCTAAAGAAGGAACATGCGAACTGAAATGAACGGACAAACAAAACAAAACAGCCCAAAATGTTCAAGTGAAAGAGAAGAATTTAAGCATGCAACATAGAGAGGGGCTAAGACTTAGCACAGAGTTTGTTAATGGAAGGAAACGTCAATTGATGACATCATGAAGCAGCCGGTGAAAACTGCCCCTGCAGTTCACAAATGGAAAGAGACGTCTGTCTCATAACCAACATCACCTTCCATTCAGCTCTAACCACAATTCTCCCTTCTAGTGCTGGCTTCAAACACTAGAAATGACTAAACATTTTTTTGTGCCAACTTGAATGCGTAAATTACATCATATCTCACTGTGTTCCCCAAAGTTTCTTCTATATACGGGTTTTGCCAACTCTGGGACGGGAGAGTTCATGGTGGTAGACTGTAAACGCTGGAGGATAAGATATGAGGAAATTGTTCCTCTTGAGTCCTTGGATCTCCAACAACTGTTTTCCTTGTATACATTTATATGTACATACACACACACACACACACACACACACACACGACCACCACCATGATCAAGGCAACGTCTATTTATTTACTTATTTATTTATTTTTGTTGAGACAGGGTCTCATTATGTAGCCTTGAATAGCCTGGAACTTGCTATGTAGACCAGCCTGGTATGGAGTTCCCAGAGAACCACGTGCCTCTGTCTCCCGAGTGCTGGGATTAAAGGCGTGCACCATCACCTCCAGTCCTCTAAGACAACCTATAGAAGGAAGGGCATTTGGGGCTTATGGTTCCAGAGAGATAAGGGCCCATCACAGTCACGGAGGGGAAGCATTACAACAAGCAGGCTTGGTGACTGGAGCTGGGAGCTGAGAGATGAGGGCTCACATCTTGATCATAAGCAAGAAACAGAAAGAGCGAACTGGGAATGCTGTGTGTGTTTTGGAACCTCAAAGTAGCTTCCTGTGATGGACTTCCTCCAGGAAGGCCATACCTCCTAAGCCTCCCCAAGCAGTGACACCCACTAGGGACCAAGAAGTCAGATATCTGAGAATGTGGGGGACGTCTTATACAATCACAAATGCTTAGAACAATCATTTAAGAAACTGGTTTTATAAAGTGCCTTTCTTTCCCACAGCAATAATCCTCTGAGATACTAATGACAACTCAGACACCTTTTTATTAATTACGGGATGAGGCTCAAAAAGGCTATAATTTGTCCTTGAGCATAAAAATCAAAAGAATGATAGAAAGGACCCTGGGTCTCCCTCGCCACCCTGTCCAGCCAGCTTTGAAACATTTTTCCATGTGAGCAGTAGGAATTTAAAAATATGTATTATACTGAATGACCTTCTTACTAATTAGTTGGGATAGAGAAGGATCTTCCAGCTGTTACATTAGCAATGAGGGAATATTAATTAGATTTGAATGGATATGTCATAACTGAAAGAAGTATCTTCCTGTAGAAAAATTCACAGAGGGGCAGATGAAGTAGCTCTGCAGATAAAGGCACCTGCCACCAAGCCTGGCGTCCTGTGTTCTATCCCTGGGCCTCACATGATAAGCAGAGAGAATGGACTTCTGGAAGGCATCTGACCTCCATTAGCACACTATGGCATGTGCATACCTTCTGCCAGCCCACCCTATATAAATAAGAATCTAAAAAGAAAATTAAGAAAATCCCCAGAAAATAGATACTCAGTGTCGTCAACCAAGATAAACTCTGAAGTAGAGGCTTGCAGCAGGCAGGGTGCAGACTTGCTGGATTTAGAGAATGTTTTTTCTGGGTTTCAGGGACGTTAGCTGCTATACCCCATCTTAAGGGGAACCAAACTCCTGTTGTCCCATAACTATGAACACTGTCTCAATGATACTGCCAAGACTGTCGTTGAAGGTTTCAAGATGCACAGGAGTGCTAGAGGACCAGGGGGATGGTAAAGGGAGAGGGGTAGGAAGTATACCATTAGTTTAAAGACATTATAAATTAAGGAGCACTTGATAGCAAATGTAAAAACTTTGGCAAGGTGACTTTTATTTAAAAAGAAAGAAATCGTGGCCTAGTATCTGGCTTTGATAATAGTAAGCCTTTCGACAGGAGAAAACCTTCTTCGTCTTACTGACAGGCATTCAGAGCCGGGTCTGCTCCTTCCCAGACTCTATTTCATGTGTGTGTGTTTTGCTAATAGACAATATATAGTATCAGTGGAGCCTTTTTTTTAGAAAATAAAATGAGAGACAGAGCATCCTGTCACCCACATTGTTGCCTCTGTTTTTAACTTTCAAAGCAGCCGTTTCCGTATACATTAAGGCCAGTAGTACTTGGATAGCTTTGTAAAGGTGCTTTATAACCCAGGGAAAGCATAAGAATACACATTTGTTCAGGATTTCTTCAAAATGTAAAAACCAGGAGTTACTATTTGGCTTATGTAGAACTAGAAAACTTGGGCACCGCAAAAATCATTATTCTGGAAAATTTGAACCCTGCCTTAATCCATCCCATTTATCTACAGCCATGTACGTGGGTGTTCTGGAAAATGACAATATAGTTCTATTCGCATGCTCCTCTCTTTAACAAACAAGAAAGCTAGAGCCCCAAATTAAATGTAAGCCCATGCCTGCAAGAGATTACATCTCAGAACTGCATGGGCAGGCATGGCAGCCGCAACCTGTAGTCCCAACAACGTTCAGGAGGCTACAGCAGAGGGATTTCAACAAGTGTGAGGTCAGCCTGGGCTAGAGAATGAGACTCTGGGAAGGAAGGAAGGAAGGAAGGAAGGAAGGAGGGAGGGAGGGAGGGAGGGAGGGAGGGAGGGAGGGAGGGAGGGAAGAAGAAAAAGGCTGTAGTGGAAACTCAAACAGATATGAGGCTCAGTTGACTCAGTTGAACCTTCGCCATGCTCACAGCAGGGCGAGAGTTGTAAACCTGCACCTGATGGCTTAGTCATCTTAGAGAGTTGTTACTGGGAAGCAAAACTGAACCAAAGAGAATTGTGTAGCCAGGTGACGAAGCCTCTTCCTATATAGAAGATAGAAATTCAGAAGTGTAAGCTCCAGCTCATGTTGGCACTCACCGTGGTCTCAGGAAATCTCCTCCCAGCTTTTTGTTTCTACATGTGATAATTTGAGGCTGCCTTAAATAATTATCAAGGCATAAAAATTTGAAAAGTGAAAACACTGCAGTGTTCCAAGCACCCACAGCTTATAAACGCAGCCACCCAGGCCAGCTCCACTTGACTTCAGAATCCTACTAGAACTTCTGCACGTTCTGTTGCTGTAAAGCTCGGGAACAGTGGTGGATACCTATGGCTCCAGGACAAGGGAGGCTGAGGCAGGAGGATTATGAGTTCAAAGTTATCCAGATACATATTGTGAGACTCTGTCTCAAAAAAAATATATGTTTGTTTGTTTCCAAGCATTTATGAAAAGGACAATTTTAGGTCCCCCTCAAGGCGTCTAGGCACCAGAGTCTCCAGACAGTAGTAAAATGGCTGGAAACAGGAGGTGTAAGAGGATGTGCAATTAAATACATGCTTCCTTCTCTGCTCTAACCCCCAAAGAAGTTCAGCCCTGGAGAATAGTAAGTCCACTGTGTGGATCAAGGGAAGTGATCCCCCCTTTCTGAACTCAGCCATGCTGTGCAGATAAGGGTAGGGAAGGTCTGCGGGTTTCTCTAATTGTCCTTGGTGGACAAGCTTTGAATTCTACAGACAATAGCTGGAAGCTGAGGGGGTCTCAGTTAAAAATTATTTTAAAACAGTAAAATCTACATGCCATCGTTTGATAATGCGTATTCCAGTTGCTCTCCTCTGTCCATAAAAAGTCTCTGCTTCAGTCTTCCATGACAGCAAGCCATGTTCTAACTTAACACAACTCCAGTCTGTGCTCCCATTAACTTCAGCTATTGGGGTTGCAAGTGCCCACCAGATGTGCACAAGTGCCCACCAGATGTGCTCAGATCCTATGCAAACATACTGAAGCTGCCATGCCTGCAGAAAGGAAACCATATTTCTTATATTCTACCCACAAATCTCCTCTTGGGTCTGTGGGGAAATGTTTCATATATTAGAGATTAACTACTGAGCCAAGAAATACAACTTAGTTACCAACTGGCTGGATTTTGTTTTGTTTTGTTTTGTTTTCTGTGATCAGATGAAGCTTGTTTCCCTTTTCAGCCAACAGTGTTAGGTCAGAGCAGTTGTGTATCCTGAAGGTCTTGTTCAATAGCAAATCAACTGTGGATTTTGAGAAAACGGTACAGCTATTTTCTAGAAAGAGCATGCTTAATTCATGTTTTGATTCCCTCCTGGTGTGCTGTGTGTTTTAAAGGCAACTTGGCCAGGCAGGCCTTAATGGAGGGAGCCCATTTTTACTGGAGTAGTTTTCAGCTAAAGAGCCAAAGCCTGCCGCCATTCATTGTTTCTGTTTTAATATGAGCCAGAGTCTGTTTAAAATCTTTGTGGCTGATGTTTATTGTACGGTGGTTCTGTGGTAGTATGTGAAGTGTCTACTAAGCACTGCAGCTATGAGTCACTCAGAGAGCCACATGACATTTTTACTGGCTTGTTCTGTTCTATGTTCCTCTTCCTAGGATATCCATAACAAGAGTGACAGCTGACATTTCTCTTGCTAAGAGGTCTGTCCTCAACAATCCTAGCAAGAGAGCAATAATTGAACGTTCAAACACCAGATCCAGCTTAGGTAAGATGTTTTCATATAGGCATGAGGTGTATGGGTGGGGAATATCTTGTCCTACTTGGGTGCTGACCTGCCTGGAGAAGTGTTGGATACCTGTGGAGAAAGCCAGCCGATGGACAGGACAGGGGCAAAGTCCTGCAGCATCCAGACCCCTCCTCCTCCTCTTCCTCCTCTTCCTCCTCTTCTTCCTCCTTCTCTCTCTCCCTCTTTCTCCCCCTCCCCTCAGTTCTAGACAGTTAGTGTGGTGGGAGCAGACCTTCTCAGGCTTTTCTACTCAGTTGCTGCTGAACCATGGGAAACCACTTATTTCCTTTTCCTTAAACTTCACAAAAAGGTTTCTGTCATTGGTGACACATGGCTGACATGGAAGGAAACAAGATGTTTATAACGGGAAGGTAATGATATTCTTGTGTATACCCAGAAGAGTCCCATCTTTCAGTAGAAATCGTGACTACCGTGATGGACATGCAGAGAACTTAAACTTGTCCTCTGAGTACTTGTTGGAAAGCATCTTAAAAATCCTCCCAAAAGGGAAAATAAAACATTTCCAATGAGTTGGGGTGTGCATAGAAGTGAACCACTTTGGGGAATGTTTCCATGAGCCCATGGAAAAAATAACAGCTTTGGGTGCTGAGTGAGGATATGAACATTTGTAATCTCTGCACCTG